AGTACCTCAATTCCAAAAACAAGGTCCAAGATTTTGCAGAACTCCATGGAAGTTAGAAATCTGTTGACCTTAAGAGAAGTGTGCAGAACGCCAGACAGTTCGTACGTTTTCAGAAAAATTTGCAAAACTTCAGCTAAACTCACAGAACTTCGGGAAAGTTCGCCGATCTTTAGAAGTATTTACACAACTTCAGAGAAATTCGTAATTCTTCAGATAAATATTTAAAACTTCAGCGAAGTTAAAATATGTTCAGATATTGTGTAGGGCTTTGGGGAATTTCAAAGAATTTCTGAAAGATCTGCAGAACTTTATGGAAATCCAAGAAATTTACAGAACTTTAGAAAAGTTTGGAGATCTACTGAGAAATTTGTTGAGCTTCAGGGTAGTTCGTAGATCTTCAGAGCAGAAATACAGTACTTCAGGAAACTTTGAAGAATTTGAAAAATAAATTAGGAACTTCAGAAAAGTTCATGAGGGTAGATCGTAAATCTACTGAAAAATCTGCAGATGTTTAAATAAATTTTAAATGATTTTTATTGTTGTTCTTGGATTTTAAGAGAAATTTACAGAACTTCCGGTAAGTTCGCTGATCTTTAGAGATATTTTCACAACTTCAGAAAAAAGTAAAACTTCAGAAAACTTCCTAAAACTTCCGGAAGCTAAAAAAATTCTAGATAATCTTTGAATTCTTTAGGAAATTGTGTAGATGTTCAGAGATATTTGTAGATATTTATTGAATCATGAAAATCTACAGAGAAAATTACAGAACTTTCGAAAAGTTTGTAGATTCTAAGAAATTTTGTGAACATCAGAGATAATTGTTATTCTTAAAGGATCTTAAATCTTCAGGGATTCAGGAACTTTGTAGATTTTTAGGAAAATTTGCAGATCTTCTGAAAAACACATAGAACTTCAAAGAAATCTGCAGAACTACCGAGAAATTTGCAGATCTTCAGGAAAATTTGTTCATCTTTAAAGATATTTTACCGGAGAACAGAAACAAAACTTCAGGTACGTCCAAAGGTCTTCAAAGAAATGTGCAGAATTGAGTTCTTAACAGAAATTTTCAGAACTCCAGGAATCATGTAGATCTATAGAGAACTTTTCCCACTAACTTGTCGAAAGTTGGTATCGAGATCCTGGCGAAGTTTAGAAATCCATTTTTATCTTCATATCGCAGTTCTTGAAGGACAAGACGAGCCAGATCCCTGCCGGTGTTCCTCCTGAGCAACCATTTAATACTCCACAAAGTTCACCTTCTCCTTCTCATTTTATTTAAAATAATAAAAGCAAATACCCCTGCCGAAGCTAGAACGATTTTCCGGTAGTTCAAGATGGAAGTATTTACTTTTGATTTCTGATACAGTTTTGTTTTGAAATCTAAATTGACAGTTCTATCGACATGTGCAAGCAGAACACCAGCAACCGGGGGGGTTCAACAAAGAGTGTCGAAAGTAAATTCGAGCAGATTTTTCATTATGGCGGCGATCAAAATCAAACCAAGAAATCAGATAGTCTAAACAGACCTTTAGCTGAAAATGAAGTCAACCTTAACAGATAGACCAACTACCTGCATTAATTTGAATTTTGAGATATCAACATTCTTTTGATCAAGGCAACCTCTGAGTATCGAAGTTAGCGTTGCCAGATATATCGATTTATCGATATTTATACCGATTTTAGAACTTGATACCGATACTTGATATATACAGATAACGTTTGTCAGAATACCGATTTTTTTATACCGATTTATACCATTTTTTTAAATAATCAAAATGTTTATTGCCTGCTCCCGTTAAACTGTCAGAGGAAACTATTATGAAAAGGCTTTTATATATTTGAATATCTCATCCCGGGAATTTCAGGAAAGTCCAGAGAGCTCCAGCGACCTTAAGGAAACATCAGAAATATTTTAGAAACTTCACAAGTCCAAAGAACTTTTTTAATATCTAGTTCATTTATTTGGAAGGCTCAATAACGTTAGCTTTACGGAGCCTACAATTCATAGATCATTGTTTGTAACAAAATTCACTTAACTTTACGTCTATTAGGAGTTGGGCCGAATACTTGCGACTTACCCGAGTTTAGAGGGGTACATTGTCGAAGGATAGGATCAAGGGAGGAGCTTGGGTTGAGGTTTTCCTGGTTTCAGCAGAGCGTAGGTACCAGTATGAACGGTAGTTTTTTTTTTTTTTTTTGTTATAGTCACTTTAACACTCTTGGGTCATTCGTGACTTGTCCGGGGGTGAGAGTTGAACTCGTGACTTTGACGTGAGAGGTATGGATGTTAACCACTACGCCGGGGTCGCCCCGACATGAACGGTAGTGCGATTCTAGATTTGTCTGAAGTCCAAAAAAATAATGGTTTTCAGGACAGTTCCATCTGTTTCAGACGAAATGAGATAACTTTAGGGAAGCTCTGAGAACATAGAGACAGATCAATTAATTTCAAGGAAGTTACACGGACGTTAGAAAATTGTGAGAAGTTCCTTAAATTTAATACAAAATTGGGAAGATTAGAGAACTTCAATAGGGATGTTCATTAATTTCTAGATGTTCTGGTATTCTCATTATAATCAGGGATGTTCCGAGCACTTCGAGGATGACCAGAGGACTTCAAAACAATCCCATCAACTTCAGAAAAAGTGCAAGATTGTTCTAGGAGTTCCAAGGAATCCGGCTGAAACTCTCTGTAATTCGTTTTCCTCGATCCATTATTTTGTCCTCAGTCATGGTAGCGTAGTGATTTGATAAAAATCGTCTTAATTAGACAAGGATTCTACAACGAATTCAAAGGATAATTTCAAGGGAATTCTAAGAAGATCTCCAACAGCATTCTAAGGTAAGTAGAACAGTCTTCTATGGAGCATTCTGTGACTATGGCATGACCAGACACTCCCGGGTAACTGAACTGTGTCGCAGGGCCGGCATGTTACTGGGTATTCGGAGGGGCTACGTGGACAAAGTATGAAACACAGGAATATTCACATTTTATAACACATTTATTTGCCCTATTCTGTGGCGTGTGGGTGAGGGTTTTCACATGTGGCGTGTATGTGAGGGTTTTAAAATTTGCACTGTACTCACTGCTGCAGTGGGATCTCCTACGGCGTCACGACGCTGGCGTTGGCCCACACGGCTGCTCCTGCACTACCGTGTGGCCGGAAACTTGCGGCGCGGGCTGCAGACAGTGTTGTTGCAGCTTTGGGAGAATGGCGGATCTGGTGGCGTCCATCAGCCACATACGGCTCAGCAGGCCGTTGCTGGCTCGTTTGGCTGGCAGGCGTCTTCCGTCGTTGACAAAATCGGCTGACCGTGGCATGGCCACCTTGGTCGAGCCGAGACGGGACCCTCCTTGGCAATTAAGGCCACCGGCCTGAGGGAATCGTCCCTGACGGACGATCGAGGATCATTTACTATTAGGCTCGGAAGCCATCTTGACTTCCGAGCCGAGCCGTGTAAAACCGTTTTGTTTACGGTACGAGGTCCTGAACGGAGGCAGTCCAACATCCCAGAAACCCTACAAGGGGGGGGGGGGGTACACTAAATGGCACTGCACTTTACGGTACCGGTCTACACGGACGCCTGATTACTTCTGCCTAATCTTCCAAATCTAAGATGGCTAGCTATTCATCATCCAATTTGCGCATCCATTGTTATTTTAAAGCCAAGATATTCCTCCCTTCAGTAACGTTACGTTGTTGTTTGCAGCGGCACAAACCCTCTCGCTCTTGTGTGTGTCTACTGTTTTAGGTTTAACAAAACGTGAATTTTCCAAACAACAACAACTCATACAAACGAAAATCCACGGATTGTAACCAACTGGTTACAATTCCAAGGCAGTTCAGACCAAAAGTCTAAGATAACTCTGAGTAGAATTCGAATGGAATGGTTAGAAAGACTCCTGACGGATTCTAGAGGTGATTCTGATATGCATATAATGGGATGGGAACTATGCGGAGAGTTCTGTGTCTTAATTAAATGATATGAGCAAACCAATTACACGGAGCCGTTAAAGTGAACAAGCATCTACGTCCTAAACTACTTGGATAACAATGCAATGTGACTCAAAATGCACGAAATTAAACTTTTTGTTACCAGGTGAATCTTTGTCATTGACTAAAAATGAATGAGATTTTGACAAAGGTTTTTGTTTTTGAGTATCAAGTAACTGCCTGTGTGAAAAAAAAAATTTGTCAATATCGCGTGAAAGTCTTTCAATGACAATGACTAATCTCAGCACTGGTTTGAAGAATAATTCCAAAATAATTCTGAGGATATTCTAGTAAATAGTTTGAATAATATTAATGTTGCTATCATATGACATCAACAAAAACATTCCTACGCGAAGGAAAAAAACCTGTAACTACTATAAGCAGAATATTGAAATTAATAGCAACAACAGAGCAAGTAAACATTTCGATCAACATTTGCCACGTGTTCCCAGATGTGTCACCTATCTTTTGCGCATCTTCTTCCATCTATTTTCCATTAACTCACTTGACTCCGATTAGCGTTCAACAACAAGAAACGAACCACCAAAACGAACGCAAACAACACCATCAATCGCGGAAGCGGCCAATCATAGCCCGCTTCTTCGCTTTCCGGATGCATCATCCTCCGTCATCCTCATCCGACCAGCAGAGATCATCGATTCAACGAACTTGCACTTTATGACACCCGCCCCACCCCCTCCTCTTCTTCAACCCATGCTCTTCGTCATCATGGTCTGTCTCGTTATCAAAACAAACAACACAACAAGGCCAGTGTTCAGCATCGCTATGCAGAGGCTGCTTGCATGCAAGCTCCGAACAATGCATCGCAAGTGGAGGGGATAGCACGAACGTGAGCCGAACGTTCGCTCGGGTCGGCTTCGTGCTCGGTAGGCGGCGCCGGTTGCCAACGAAACGGCCGAATCTGAGCGGGCGCTCGGCGAGAAGTGATGAATTGCCGGAGTGGGACCAATTTCACTCATTCTTCTACCAGCGCTCGAGTGTATCGCACGCGTTTTGATCGCACTCTCGCACTACAGTACCGTACCGTTTGGGTTTGATTGTTTAATTGGTGAAATTCTTTTCTCTAAAGAAAGGTGTGCGGTGGTGAAAACAAGTGATAGAAAGCATCACAGCGACAACCTTGAAGGATCTGAAGGATAATTTGCTTGGTTGATAAAAGAGTGGAATATAAAGTGGAAACTGAAGGGCGCTGAAACGCTGAAAGTGAATTGGAATTTCAATTTTTCCGTGGAAGAGGATCTATCCGAGTGTTTAAGTGCGAAGCAAGATACCGGATTGCATCCGGAAGAAAATCTGTCAAAATTTGTGTTAAACGTGCAAGAAAGATGAAGGCCATCACAGCGGTGTGTGCTACGGGTGCGTCGGTGCCGGCAATTGCCAACGGCCGAGTTCAGCGGCACCGGGACGGTGAAAATGCCGAGATTCAGATGTACCTGTCGAAGCTGAAAGATCTGGTACCGTTCATGCCCAAGAATAGGAAGTTGTCGAAGTTGGAGGTCATCCAGAATGTCATCGACTACATCTGTGACCTGCAGAGCGCACTGGAATCGCATCCGGCTGTGAATAATTTCGATCCCGTGCAGGCTCTGGCTAGTCATCAGAATGCTGCGGAACAGATGGAGTCCACACCGGTGGGTCCTCGGCAACCGCTGGGAGTGCGGCCAAGTCCCAACATGATCCTGGCCAATGCCGCAAATGTCCCTGTCAGTCCTGCCGTGAGTGGTTCCAGCAGTTCCAGTAGCAGTAGTAGCAGCGGCAGTGATTCAACCAATGTGGTAAGTGTCGTATTTCTTCAAGTGATCAAGTACCGTTCATTTGTGGCCGAGGTTCGTGTACGTGGAGAAATTCCCAGAACCGAAGTCACATGAGCGGCACAAACAAACAAGAATGCAAAATTGTCCAACGTGGGAACGAAGATGCGGACCGTGAAAGGGGCGGCGGGAACAGAGAGAGAGAGAATGAGCGCGAGAAGCGAAATAAAGATTGTTTTAACCTTTTTCACCCTCTTTGCCGCATTCCTCTCCTTCTCTCTCTCTATCGCATGCTCGTAAGCTGACGGCGCCTTTCCCACATTCGGTCCGCGGCTCTGTTGTACCCATCGCATCCGACCCCGACTGCTACGATGACGACGAGACGAGTGTGCGATATTTTTCAACACAAAAATGAACACCTGCATCGGGTTATTAAAATGAAGGCACTAACAAACAACGATCACCGCTCTTTTTTTCACGCGGGCACCGTCACTGCCTCACCGCTCCCACCTTTGGCAGCAGGGTTTGTCAGTGGATCCGTTTCTATCTGTGTGTGAGAGAGCGGATCAAATTAAATAAATTGCCGAGATTTTGTAATGGGCTTGATTTTTTTTTTTCGCGTCTGTTCACCTCAACGGTTGTCGTCGTTGGGGTGGTTACGTCAAGGTTTTGGCATCCATAAAAATTTTAATTTTCAACTCCTTTTTCGCCTACTTTGAATGTTCAGGTATCCAAGAAGAGGTACTTGATCACCTCCTGCTTGAATGGTCGGTTGTTGTTGTTTTCGCTTTGGGGAAAACCAATTCCATCGCCAAAAGTGGCTGTGTCAAGTGCTGCGTCATCTTCACAGACAAATGGATGGTGACAGATGTAAGCGAAGTGCACTGTCCGCTTATCTGTGGTTGTTTGACAATCATTGGCATCTGCAGTGGAGCGTGAAATTGATCCATCGCGGTCTCACGGGCACTTGAAGTTAGGCGATCACGACACGGTCTGACAGATCGTGATCGTTCGCTGCGCTTTCGCTCTGACGGGTGAATAACTCGCTGTACTGCCAAAGTTTCACCTAATTAAAGATGCCGCCGCAGCCGCGCGACGGCCACAGAGTTTAACGAACGATCGCCAAGTGTTTGACCCAGTTCAAGCGAACTACCGGCTCTACCGTTGACGATCGCGAAGCACTGGTAAAAGAGACGGAGAAAGAGCGATCACATATCGCACCCTCCTGGCTAATTAACGATCTGTCATTAATATTCACACCAACTGCCGCGCCACCTCTTCCACCCAACCAATTGCGATCGCGATCATGGGCTGAAGGCGACAACGACGACAACGACTATTTTTAGGCTTACAAATCACCTAAAAATAGCGTACGATCGCGCCTCGCTAATCCCCCCTCGCGCCAAATCCGTTCAGCGCCAGCGACTAACGAAACGGAAACGCGACACAACGATCTGCAATTTTAATAAGGCGCTTAAATAACCTCTTCAGCGGTGAAGAACGACAACGCCCGAATAGGTAGAGAAGCACGAAGCAGAAGGGAAGACAAAAGCAATCCAAACCAATCGGCTCCACGCCTTCGCCTTCTTCGGCCGTGATCGAACTGAACACGTGCAAAATTTTCACCCCGTTCGCTGCTGAGCGTCGATCGCTTAGTCCCGTAAAATTAAAATACGAAAACGGCCTATAAATTGATTAACATATGTTTCGACTTCATGAATTTATTCCACTACGCGATCACGGGGCCCCGCGCTCGTCAAACGAGTTTTGACAGTTGCGACGAACCAAAACGAATGCGTCTCGAACATATGTTTCAGATATTTCACACCACCTGAAGAAAATTGATTATTACAAATGGACATTCCCTCGTCTTGATCACCCCTCCTCCGTTCAAAGCCGCAGAAACGCCTGCTTCGATTTCGAAAACTGTCAACACAGCTGCGCTAAGGCGGCGGCGACGCCAACGACGATCGATTTCTCACCAAAGTCGAACAAAATCGTGACCTGCCAGTAGTTGTTACACAGGGCTTTGATTAGAGTTCGTGACTTGACGAACTCTGCGCGCAGCTAGAAAGTCAACTAACTACCTGGGCTACTGCAGTGACCACGCCAAACAACCGCAGCCGCAAATCAATGTGCCTGATTGGTGTCCGCTCCGGCATTCCTTCTGCCATCCGTCCGTCCGACCATCCATCGCCGTGGTTCCAAAGCGGGCACGATTTGTTGCGGTGTATTTGCACAATTAAATTGGAAAGTTTTGTGAAGCTGAAGCCACCGCCGCCACCACTTCGGAGCTGCCACTCCAAATACCACCGAGAGCAGTGAGTGAAAGACGCCGTGTGCTCTAAATCTGCACAGTTCGTTTTCCGCATACCTTTTCCATGCCCAGGTGTTTAATGATCGTGTTACGTATACTTACCCTAGACCCACACATACACACACACGCGCTCGCTCGTCACAGTCCCGCCTCTCCGTCAACTATTGCTTTCTCTGGTCAAAACTGGACTCTAATCTCAATATTTTCTCTTTTTCTCTTGCAGGCAAAAGACAAATCGACGTGAATTGTCACAACATAAAAGTGTGAACAAAGGTTGAACGCCCACCGGGACCGGGACCGGGACTTCCGTTGCCGGTCCCGTCCGTTGGCCGCCGCTGCTTGTTTAGGAGTTTGGATGATCTCAGCCTCGAACTGAACAAAACAAAAACATAAACTGACTTACACATAACACACAACTACAAAAGCAAAAACAACAACGGTCATTGTTTGACTGACGCGCACGCAACAACAAAAACAACAAACCGGTGGGACGTGGCTGCGTCCTGAACTGCACACTGCTGGAATGCGCTTGCGTGCGACATCTTATTAATTATTAATTATAATGTTCTGTGATCTATAGAATATGTTTTTTTATGGAAGAAGTTTACTTACGTACGGTCATAAAACTGATTTCATTCTCAAGCACAGTTAAGAACAAAAACAAAGCGGAAAACGGCTTCCCTTGACCTGTCATACGCGAACGCGACGACCACGTCGCAACAGTCATCTGTCAAAAAGTCGACACGCTTTCTTCGGTCATAGGAGGCGCCCTCTTGTACAAAATGTAGAATTTAGTTGCATTAACCCTCTAGAAAGGTTCGTTTCTAGCACGCAAACAGACACCGATGAATTTCATTTTCGGAAGAGAATATTAGTTTTTTTCATTTGTGTAAAGGTGCAACAGAACCGATGACTTTATAACGTTTGTTTTTTAGTTTTTAATCAGAAGAAGGCATAAACTTTATTTATGTACATATAGCATACTATAGAACAAATTATATTTGTTCCCTTTGATGAAGAAGAAGAAGTAATTTATAAAATAGTGAGACTCTGTCAAATAATAAATAATTTGAAAAAATGTCATAATTGAAAAAAAAATCTAAAACTGTTGTTCTACTGCTAAAACATAAGCATATCCGAAAAGTCACGGCCTGCTTGGCACTTTTTGCAGTACGCTACACTTTAAAAATCGAACCATGCGACGAAGGAAGCCATGGAGAAACCGCATCCGCATAACCTTTTAATAAAATCCACTTTTCTTCCCGTTGCCGTCGTCTTCGTCGTCGTCGTTGTCTGGTCCATCGTCCTCCTCTTCCTCGTCGTCATCATCATCATCATCCATCCCATCAGCCGAATCAGCCCGGAGGCAGTTGTACGAAAATATGTGTACACATACACACACATATGTCTAGAGCGCGAGAGGAAAAAACGAGTGCACGTGTTCAAATCAGCTTCATCCGCTGTTCGCATATGTGAACAACTCTCGGTGGAAGCTTTCCGACTGTGTACACTGTGATTTATTCTTGAGAACATTTTCCGAAAGGTATTTTTCCGGCGATTGGAAAACGTCATCACTAATGATCGCCAGACAGATCTTAATCATAACCATTTTCATTAAAAATAATGCTCAAATTTCCAGCAATGTGTACCCCGCCAATTGACAGTGTAACTGCCGGTTGGTTATGCCGCGGCGCGGCTCACTAGATGGAAACCCGCAAGTGATCGCCCAAGTGTTTTGCAGATTACAACAAAGCTGTGTGGGGCGTGGGGTGGGGATGTGGCAGAGGCGGCCTGGTGGGAGAGGAGCGAACGAGATCACCGCGCCTTCATGTCGGTCAATCGTTCGTTCGTTCGTTCGTTCGTTTGTTGTTGCCCTACACGTAGAGCATCCGCACCCAGCTGTGTATTAAAACGGACGGACGGTTGGATGCTGCTGGAGCTGGATCTCTGATTAATTACTTCAATTAATCCCGTCGTGCCAAAGAGCAACAGCAGCAGTAATAGCAACAACAACAACAACAGTAGTGCGGCCACTTGAGCGCAAATGGTTGGCTAGGTGGGTAGCTATAGGTTGGCAATAATAATGCCGGCCCGGCTGACTGAACGACGAGTGCGCATGGGGCATCCGGCGCGTACCTAATTCTGCTAATAGTGGACAATGATATGGGGCTGGCAGTGTGGTGTGCAATGAACTGGACAGGATGACGACGACAACGTTCCGTTGTGGGGTTTGTACGGTGGAAATTCCTGCTTGTGATAAAACAGTGATCTTGACCTTTTGCGTAAATGGTGGAGACTGCGAACTCCGTCTTCATATTATTCAAACCGTTGTGTAGAAGCTCATGTAAGGAGAAATTGAAGCTTGACCTTTTGAGATACGTTGGCAACTTAAAACTGTTTCCCCAACTTATAATGATCCGAAGGAAATAGTTTCTGCATTTTTAGGCCATCAGCTGATTATTCATGGAGCTTCGCTGATATTCATGGAGCTTCCCTGAAGACCCCGCAGTATGCTTGAAATTTTGGGAACATTCTTAAAAGCTCCTGCATTTGATTAATGTAACTGCTCTGAAGTTCTCTGATCATCCTTTTAGTGCTCTGAACATCCCTGTACCTAAAAATCTTAAAACTTCCCTGGACGTTGCTGAATTTATCGGTAATTTCATGAGTTTCTACTTATACTGATTGAACTGCACTGAGGTTCTCTGATCTTCTCCTTTGATGATCTCGTAGATTCCCGGAAGCTTTCACAGTTATCATTAAGCTTCATTCAAGTCTAGAATTCTGTAAAGATTCCAAAATATGTATGAAGCTTCCTAAATTTTTCAGGATTTCCCTGGAGCTCCAAGAATTTCTTAAAATTTATCAAAATGTTCCTGGAAGCCATAGAGCTGTCCTAAATTTATCGAAACTAACCTTTAAAGATCTTCAAACTCTTCCTCAGAAGTCTGCAGTTTCCTGCAGATATTTTGACAGCTATTAAGATCTGTGAGCCTCTCTAAAGATCTCCAGACCTAGCCAGTTTGAAGCTCTTGGAATTCATATAAAATATCCACAGTATTTCTCAGCATATTTCAACTGAAGTTTTCTTGATTTCCCAGGAGTTCTTAGAACTTCTAAAAAGTTCGTGCAATAGCGGTGCCGGTGGTAAGCGTGACTGCCTCACACCCTCTCACTCCAACGGGCCTTTGTTCCATCCCATTCGGCGCCGCGTGACGTGAACTGTGAACTGCGGAAAGAGCAAATTGAAAAATGATCCACAACAATTTTTGCACAACCTTTTTCGTTAGCGAAATTTTATGACTTTTCCAAGGGGAACTCAACTCTGCACATCTCAGTCTGTGCCTACACTCATAAAATAAATCACATAACCAGTGGAAAATATCCATGTGAATTACACATAACTTTCATGTGATCCCATAATTTGAAATTGCACCACTAAATCACATGAACGTTATGTGTCCAATGAACTTTATATGATTTGTCATATAAAGGGTGATACGGTCAAAATTTGGTCAATATCAACTTGACGTATTTCTTTCAATTTTGCATTTAAAAAACCTGAACACCCCTCATTTTGAAGGTGTGTGTGTGTAGAGTGTTGCTCCTATTTTGATTCTGGAATTCACTCTTCAGTTGTCAAAATGCCGTCCAAGCAAGAAGAGCAGCGTATCAAAATTTTGCTCGCGCATCGCGAAAATCCGAGCTACTCGCACGCAAAGTTGGCAAAATCGCTAAAAGTTGCCAAATCAACCGTTACAAATGTAATTAAAGTGTTTGGGGAACGTTTGTCGACAGCCAGGAAGTCTGGATCGGGGGGAAATCGAAAACCGGAAGCCGCTGAGACGACAAAGAGAGTTGCCGGTAGTTTCAAGCGAAACCCTAACCTCTCTCTCCGAGATGCCGCAAATAAGCTGGGTGTATCATCTACAACCGTGCATCGAGCCAAAAAACGAGCCGGACTATCGACTTACAAGAAGGTGGTGACTCCAAATCACGATGATAAACAAAATACGACGGCCAAAGCGCGATCCCGGAGGCTGTACACGACGATGCTGACGAAATTTGACTGCGTGGTAATGGACGACGAAACCTACGTCAAAGCCGACTACAAGCAGCTTCCGGGACAGGAGTTTTATACGGCAAAAGGAAGGGGAAAGGTAGCAGATGTTTTCAAGCACATGAAACTGTCAAAGTTCGCAAAGAAATATCTGGTTTGGCAAGCCATCTGTACCTGTGGCTTGAAAAGCAGCATTTTCATAGCTTCCGGCACTGTCAACCAAGAAATTTACGTGAAAGAGTGTTTGAATAAACGTCTGCTGCCTTTCCTGAAGAAACACGGTTGTTCCGTACTGTTTTGGCCGGATTTGGCATCTTGCCATTACGGTAAAAAGGCCATGGAGTGGTACGCCGCCAACAACGTGCAGGTGGTTCCCAAGGACAAGAACCCTCCCAACACGCCAGAGCTCCGCCCAATTGAGAAATACTGGGCTATTGTCAAGCGGAACCTAAAGAAGACCAAAAAAACTGCTAAGGGCGAGCAGCAGTTCAAGGCAAACTGGCTTTCTGCGGCGAAGAAGGTGGACAAGGTGGCTGTACAAAATCTGATGGCAGGGGTCAAGCGTAAGGCCCGGCAATTCGGATTTGGAAAAGCGGAAGCCTAACTGAATATTTTTCCTGAATTTTATACTAATTGAACTTGAAAAAGAAATTTAATTTGATTTTTTAAATAAACGATTTCACCGATTTACACGCGTTTTCCCTTGACCAAATTTTGACCGTATCACCCTTTATAATTTGGCATACGAAATCCTTTTAGTTTCTGAGATCTGTGCCCCCAAAAATTCGAAGTGGCAAGGCAAAATAAACAAAATAGCGGCCATTTGTGGATGCCATCAACTTTCACTTCAAATCTGAAATCTGAATATAAATATCTTGTTCTTTTTTAGCTGAACTTATTTAACAATGACTGATTGTAAAGTGTTGAAAAAATCTTCAATATTTTATTTTCTTATAAATTTTTACATCTGCAGCCAAAAACATAGCATCATAGCATCATGTAAATTAGCCAAATTTTATGTAATTTTGTTTTGTTATATTCAATTAAATATTGCTATGCAGAACCAAACTATGGTGAATTTTGCGTATACGAAAAATAATTTAATATAGGAATCTTGAAATATTTCGTATATCAAAAACACTATTATTTTAAACATTTATAGCCATATCGCCAATTTCTGCAGGAGTTGTGGTTCTGTGTGTATGTGTGTATTCAATCTAACCCCCACTGGCCGGCAGTGGTATTATGGAAGAAATTTGCTTACAACAATCCTTGATGTAATAATTTAAAGCAAGTTCGGGAGTTAGAAAGCGATAGCAAATTCAGCAACCCATTTCAGAATGCCTGGTCATTCACGTCCATTCCGAGGTCACTTTCACATACAATAAGCCCCGCATGTAAACACTACCGTTATCATATAAATAATGGTACTGCAACCACACTTCCAGATTTCGAAATGTGATGTTTCGAAATCTGGCGCGTATTTAGTAATATATGGAAATATGCATTTATGATTGCTAATAAATCAGATGGATCTCACCAAATTCTGCCTCCGAAAAAGGACTGGTTTGTTTACTCGGGGTAATCGAAAAAATCTTCCGTGTTGTTTTTACAACCCAACACGACATTTTGAATCACATTCGAAGTTTTTCATTTGCAC